GCGGGAGCGAGTGTCCCCGCGGCTGCGCCCCCAGATGTGCGCCCAGATGTGCGCCGGGACGGACAGCGGGACGCGCCATGGACCGTACGAGCAGGTGGGCACCCAGATGTGCGCCCGGAGCTGCCCCCGGACCCGCGCCCAGATGTGCACCCCAATGGGCACCGGCACCTTAACGGGCACAGGGAGCTGCCCTGGGGCGCCCACCCAGATGTGCAGCCAGATGTGCACCGGGACGCGCCATGGGACATAGGAGCAAGCAGGTACTCAGGTGTGCACCCAGATGTGCAGCCAGATGTGCACCCAGACGGACAGTGGGACCCGCGGCCAGGCGGGCACCCAGATGTGCAGCCAGATGTGCGCCAGGACGAGCACCCAGAGCCACCCCAGGCCACCCGGAGGGACAGGCACCGGAGCCTGCAAAGGGACGTCACCCTTGGGGACACCGGGAATGGGGACACTGCGGATGGGGACACCGCGGACGGGGACATCTCGCACGAGGACCTTGCACACGAGGACACGTCACACGAGGACACGTCACACGGGGACACGTCACGCGGGGACATCGCAATTGGGGACATCGCAATTGGGGACATCACGCACGGGGACTTGTCCCACGACGCCGACCCTGGCACGTATGGAGCCTCCTCCCATCAGCCCTGGCTGGGACCCTATAGGGACCCCTACACGGACCCCTATGGGGACCCCAACACCTATGAGGACCCTGGCCCCTATGGGGACCCCACCTCCTATGGGGACCCCAGCCCCTATGGGGACCCCAGCCCCTATGGGGACCCCAACCCCTATGGTGACACTGATGCTTATGGGGACCCTGACTCTGATAGAGACCCCGACACCTATGAGGATTCCAACACCTATGGGGACCCCAACGCCTATGGGGACCCCTATGCCAGCCCCTATGGGGATATTGACCCTGATACCTATGGGGACAACTATCCTGATCCCTATAGGGATTCTGGCCCAGGACCAGGGGGGTCCCATAGGGGCAGAGACCCCCACACTCAGCCCTGGGACCCCTATGGGCACCTCCCTATGGGTGAGGATGCCTATAGGGTCAGGGACCCCCATACAAGCCCCTGGGAGCCCTATAGAGCCCAGGAGCGTGAGATCGACCCTGGGGAGCCCTATGGGGTCAGAGACCCCCCCAGTAATGCCTGGGACCCCTATAGGGCCGAGGACCTCTGGAATGACCCTAGGGACCCCTATAGGGGGAGAGACCCCCAGGCTGAGCCCAGGGATCCCTATAGGGCCAGGGACCCCCAAGACGACCTCAGGGACCCCTATAGGGCCAGGGACCCCCAGGCCGAGTCCAGGGACCCCTATGGGACGGGGGAACCCCAGGACGACCTCAGGGACCCCTATAGGGCCATGGACCCCCAGACTGAGCCTAGGGACCCCTATGGGATCGGGGACCCCCAGGATGACTTCAGGGACCCCTATAGGGCCA